TGAAGAAAGTCACATAACGATCAAGCTTCAGGCTCCTGCCCAGCCTTTTCAAAGCCTTAGAGTCAGGTTACACTCTGATTTTAAGGTCCAAGGTCTCTGACTTTATATTATAAAATCATGTCTGTAAAAACTTATTTTGGATTAAGAATTGCTAGTGCTATTATAATGTGATCTAATCAGCAGTCTAACTTAAGACTAAGGAGTGGTACAGAATCTAGCATTATCTTTACAAATGACTGTGTTCACATATGATTGCATTTTTATAGTTCACATAGAACCAAACTGCTTTATAAGTAAATGGTCTTATTTTATTTAAAACTGCTAAGTTTAGTAAAATTCTTTTTAATTCATACTGTAACTGAAGCTTAAAACGAAAAAGGGGTCAGACAAAGTTTCAGCCAAAACACTAGCTTTTTGAAAGTTTCAGTGCTGGTCTGTAAGTGGTCTGAAGCATCCTACGCTTGGGAAGTAAACTGGCTTTTAGGATGTGATGAGTGCTCCACTGCAGGCCTTGCCTTTGGGACAATCACCTCATCAGAGAGGTGACTGTCTAGGCTCTGCTATTCCTAAAAATCTAAAAATCGGAACAATGATTTAGCCCTGTGCCTTTAGGTTTTCCCAAGCAATTAATACACTTAAAAAGAAAGATTATATTTTATCAAAGTAATTGCTTATAATTTCTACTAAATGTGCCAGGCCTCTAACCAAAAAACTGACCCTTAATTCAGGTTCATTAAGACAAAATTTGTCTTTGCTAAGCCTCTCTGGTGCACGCACCAATGTATTCTAAACTTGATTTGTGTCTGTCTCTATTCTGTGAAACTAATGGAGTACTACTCAGTGGGGAAAAAAAACCCAATGAAATTTTGAAATTCGCAGGCAAATGGATGGAACTAGAAGAAACCATCCTAAGTGAGGTAATTCAGTCACAGAAAGACAAACATGCTATGTACTTACTCATATACAGAGATTAGACACAGAGCTACAGACTACAATCCACACCGCCACAGAAGCTAGGCAACAAGGAGGATCCTAAGAGAGTCATACATGGTCCCATGGTGAAGGGGAAAGGAACAAGAGCTTCTGAACAAATTGGGAGCATGTGGGGGGGGAGGTAGGAGAAAGAGGAGGGAAAAAGAGGAGGGGGAGGAGAACGAGGGATCAGGAAGATTGAGTTGGGAGATGAATAGAGGAGAACAAGAAAAGAGACACATCAATAGAGGGAGTCATTATAGGTTTAAAGAGAAATCTGGCACTAG